AGAGTCCCCCTGAACCATCAGAGTTTCTTTTTACCATCAGAGTTCCCCCTGTACCATCACAGTTCCCCTTCACCATCAAAGCCCCCTTGTACCATCAGAGTTCCCATTAACATCAGAGCCCTCCTTTACCATCAGAGTCTCCATGTACCATCAGGGTCCCCCTTTACCATCAGAGTCCCCCTGTACCATCAGAGCCCCCGTTTACCATCAGAGTCCCCTTTACCATCAGAGCCCTTTTTTACCATCAGAGCCTCCTGTGATGGGCGTGGCGTCAGACCCCAGTCCTTCTCACCAACTTGTGACCGAAGGATTAGCCAATCTAAAACCGCACTGCCACTTGCGTAACAATGCCACTCTCAGCTGCACCCTGCACAAAGATTTTCCAGCTCACTGGACCACAATCTATGTGCGAACAGCCTGAGAGCGATTGTTACTGGGTCAGGTTAATTACACAATTAACCCTTCACACTGCCACCACCACCTTTTTACAGAGAAGAAGGAAACTCACAAATCTTAGCAGTAACACTATGATGTTTGAATAAGCGTCTGTATACACACTGCCACCGCAGACAGATGTATCCAGAGGTTTTAAAACACACAGTAGCACTCTTCAGAGACAGCTTCCTCCTTTCTAGAGACAGGATTCTTAGTTTGCATTAAAGAGCTTTAGAAACAGTTCAACACTTTTCAGAAAATAAGATTTATTACTAAAAAGGTCAAAATGGTGCAATAAAAAAATATTTACAGAAAAAATTTAACCAATATATATATAAATAGAGCAATAACACAACAGAGAGATAAAGGAAGAAGTTTAAGAAGGTAGAATACCTGCAGAAGTCCTGGATTAAGCAGAGTTCAAGTGTCCTGAACAAAAGGGTACCTTTTCTCCCAAAGTTGGTTCCTGATGTTAAAAGGGCGAATCTCTTCCTCTTCCTCTCCAGGCATGACAGCCTGTTTTCTAGGAACCCAGCAGGAAGTCTCCTTAACCACTAGCCTACAGGGCACTTATACCCCCTTCCTGCCCAGGCCAATTTCCAGCTTTCAGTGCTGTTGCACTTTAAATGACAATTGCGTGGTCATGCAACACTGTACCCATATGAAATTTTTTTCATTTTTTTGTGACAGATAGAGCTTTATTTTGGTGGTATTTAATCACCTCAGGGTTTTTTATTTTTTCTTAAACAAACCAAAAACCACTGAAGATTTTGAAAAAAAAAAATTTTTTTCTTAGTTTTTGTTATAAACTTTTGTAAATAAGTGATTCTTCTCCTTCACTGATATGCGCTAATGAGGCTGCACAGATAGGCTGCACTGATGGACACTGATAGGTGGCACTGATGGGCACTGATGAGGAGGCACTGGTAGGTGGCACCGATGGGCATTGACAGGCATCACTGATGGGCACTGAAAGGCATCACTCATTTATGGCACAGATAGGCAGCACTGATAGGTGGCATTGATAGGCAGCACTGACTTGCACTGTTAGGTGGCACTGACTGGCACTGTTAGGCGGCACTGATAGGCGGAACTGATGCACACTGATAGGTGGCACTGACTGTCATTGATAGGTGGCACTGACTGGCACTGATGGGTGACACTGAAAGGCAGCTCATATGGGTACTGATATGTGGCATTGATGTGGCACTGATGGGCACTGAAATGTGGCACTGATGTGGCACTGATGGGCACTGGCAGGTGGCGCTGCTGGGGCTACACAGGTCATCAGGGCACACTGATCACAGTGCTCTGATGATCTGTGTACATGTCCCCTCCGAGGAATACTGATTACCGGCTCTTCTCTCCTCACGAGCTGTCAGCGTGACAGCTCGTGGGGAGAGAAATGCCGATAACCGGCATTTCCCTGTTAACGTGATCAGCTGTGATTGGACACAGCTGATCACATGACCGAGCCGACATCTTCAGCTCTTTCTGTGGATCGGTGATCCCCTGTGTCCGAGGGCGCAACCTTCTGTTTGAAAGAGTGCACATGTGGCATACTGTAGGTTACAATATTGTTTCCTGAACAATGCCCTTATCAGCCATTTTTTTAAATGATGGCTAATTAACAGCTCTCAATTTTTTAGACAATTATTTTGACACAAATATGAATCATGTATAGATTTCTAAGACATCCTGGAAGTGAGTAGGTTTGGTATGTTTAATGCCAGAACAGGAAAAACTGCTCTGTGACGTATATGAGTGCAGTATAACTAACCATCAACTGGACTGCTAAACTAATATTTAGCATTAGACTTTTTCTAATGGTAACTAGTAGCACTGGCTTAAAATGTAACTACACCTTTGGTACAATTCCTCTTATATTGCCTACTACCCCTAACCCCTCCTACAAGTTTTAACCCCTTCACACCTAACAGTAAAACAAATCTAAATGCCTAAGCACAATTTTGCAACGCTGATATGTGTTAGGAAATTGGACATATCATCACAATTACTTTGTACATCCAGGTGGATTATACCGTGTTTTTTTTCAGGACAAATTGGGCTTTCATTTGGTGGTAAATGGAAATGGATATCTCCTGATTTAGCTGTGTGTTACTTGTTACTACCATAACCTACCATCAAAGAACAACCCAAAATACATTTTCCAGCTCTTGACGATCGCAGCGATACCATATATGTGTATGTTATTTGTTGTTTGTACCCAGAGTACAGCCCAGAAACAATAGTGCGCATTTTGTTTTTTTTTGTTTTTTTTTACCTAAAACACACTGACACTGACACCAATTTTTTTTGTAAATCCTGGCCTTCAACACTGACCTTTTGAGCTTGACCTTTGACCCTGACATTGACCCAAGCACTTACCCTGGCACCAAACTAGATCAAACCTTGATCTAGGTATTTTTTCTTTATTTCTTATTTTACTTTTTAATATTTGTTTATTTATCTTTTTTTTTTCTTTAACAAACATTTTTTTTCCCACTATGCCAGGAGTTAGAGAGATACAATGTATCTCTCTCCTCCATTCATAGAGAGAAAAAAAACAAGGGACTGGGCTGTACAGTGACTGATCACTGTGATAGCCAATCAGAGGCTATCACAGCAATCATGTGATCTGGAATCGGTGACACCCCGGTCTTTGTGCCACACAGCGCGCTCCCAGCACAAAGACAGGTACGCAAATATTCAGCCCCATGGAAAAAAGCCCAGTTCTTTGAGGCCGCATATTTGTGTTACGTCGGCGTCAAGGGGTTGAGGCTCCCATAGACAACTCAAATTTCATTTGACTCATGCTGAAAGGCTCTGCAAGCACCACCTGGTTTGACAAACATTTATTCGACTGAGCCAGGTAGAAAATTATAGGCTGAACAATTATTGCTTCCTATCAATTGCAGTCACTGTTTGGCAGCACCACTGTATGCAGGAAACTGTGGGTCCTGTGGATGCCTGAAACAATTGCCAGTAGTGGACGTTCCTCCATACATGCTATTGACCTCGATGGAAAATTGATTATCTCTTGATCAGCCTTTGGTCTAAACAAGAAGAAATCAAGCCCTCTGACCCAGCTTTATATTAGCCTGCCCTCGATACAGCGAGATATTGCCCACAGATCTGCTGAGCCTAATGTCAAAGTCTTCTGAGCAAGATCTATACAGTAACTCCATATACGACTATATATTATAATGATTTTTTGTATGCTGCTGGAGTATGGAGTACACATTCAACACTGAACTGAATGGAGAATTACTGCATATGTCCAAGCCTAAAGCTTTTGACAATCACCTAGTTGGCCTTATTGGCAGCATGTTATGGCACGTTTTCATGTAAGGGCAAAATGTTTAGTCCTTTTTTTTTAATATTACCCACTTTCAATGACATACTACTGGTGCAGTTTCAGAAAGCGCACCAAAACTCCTGCACGCTGCATCTTTAGTGTGCTATCTGAAACCGCACCAGAAACGTGGGACATCATAGAAGTCTATGGGAAAGCACAGGTAACTTGTACAAAACCTACGGGTTAGGTGCGCTTTTCCCAAACCACAGCTGTACTGCACCTTGGCAGTGTGAAGCCTCCCCTAAGCAGCTGTCAATACCTAGCCCGTACCATTTTCTTCAACAGCATTTGGCTTCCAGTAAAACATGAATTCATTGGCTGATTGGAGGATGACCAAAAAGTAATTCGCTTTTAAAATACATTTAACCACTTCAATACCGGGCACTTTTACCCCCTTCTTGCCCGGGCCAATTTTCAGCTGTCAGCCCTCTCACAGTTTTAATGACCATTGTGTGGTCATGCAACATTGTACCCAAACTAAATTTTATTATTATTTTGTTCACACAACTAGAGCTTTCTTTTGGTGATATTTAATCACCACTGGGTTTTTTTCGTTAAATAAACAAAAAAAGAACATTTTTTAAGTCTTTCCTCATTTCTGTTAAAATATTTTTTGCAAACAAATAATTGGTTTTCAGAAATTTAGGCTATAATGTGTAAAGCTACATTTCTTTGGTGAAAATATGCCAAATTTGTGTATATTATTTAGTCTGTAGGAAAGTTATATAGTCCACAAACTATGGTATATATCTGAAAATTGATCAATCCTGATGTACTGAGGCCCATAAATGTCAGGACAGTACAGATATCCCACAAATTACCCCTTTTTGGAAAGCAGATAGTCTGCAGTATTTATTAAGAGGCATGGAGAGTTTTTTGACGTAATTTGTTGTCACAATTTTTTGTAAAATTAAGAAATAAACAATAAACTTTTTCTCAATTTTTTAATTTTTTTTACACACTGTCACCAGTGCAGTGCAGTGTCATAAAAAAACTGGTGTGGTGGTGATCAGGGACACTGGTGATCATGTGGAAAATGTATTTTATATATATATATATATATAATATATATATATATACACTGCATTTATATATACACACACACACACTATATTGCCAAACGTTTTGGGACACCCCTCCAAATCATTGGATTCAGGTGTTCCAATCACCTCCATGGCCACAGGTGTATAAAATCAAGCACCTAGGCATGCAGATTGCTTCTGCAAACATTTGTGAATGAATGGGTTGCTCTCAGGAGCTCAGTGAATTCAAACGTGGTACCGTGATAGGTTGCCACATGTGCAATAAGTCCATCCCTGAAATATCCTTGCTACTAAATATTCCACAGTCAACTGTTAGTGGTATTATAACAAAGTGGAAGCAACTGGGAACAACAGCAACTCAACCACGAAGTGGTAGGCATTGTAAAATGACAGAACGGGGTTAGTGCATGCTGAAGCACACAGTGCGCAGAGGTCGCCAACTGTCTGCAGAGTCAATAGCTAAAGACCTCCAAACTTTGTGTGGCCTTCAGATTAGCACAACAGCAGTGCGTAGAGAACTTTATGGAATGGGTTTCCAGCCAAGCAGCTGCATCCAAGCCTTACATCACCAAGTGCAATGCAAAGTGTCGGATGCAGTGGTGTAAAACATGCTGCCACTGGACTCTAGAGCAGTGGAAATGTGTTCTCTGGACTGACGAATCACACTTCTCTGGCAATCCGATGGATGTGTCTGGGTTTGGCAGTTGCTAGGAGAACTGTACTTTCCTGACTGCATTGTGCCAAGTGTAAAGTTTGGTGGAGGGGGGATTATGGTGTGGGGTTGTTTTCCAGGGGTTCGGCTTGGCCCCTTAGTTCCAGTGAAGGGAACTCTTAAGGAGTCAGCATACCAAGACATTTTGGACAATTTCATGTTCCCAACTTTGTGGGAACAGTTTTGGGATGGCCCTTTCCTGTCCCAACATGACTGAACACCAGTGCACAAAGCAAGGTCCATAAAAACATGGATAAGGGAGTTTGGGGTGGAAGAACTTGACTGGCCTGCACCCGATAAAACACTTTTGGGATGAATTAGAATGGAGACTGTGAGCCAGGCCTTCTGGTCATACATCAGTGTCTAACCTCACAAATGAGCTTCTGGGAAAATGGTCAAACGTTCCCATAGGCACACTCCCAAACCTTGTGGACAGCCTTGCCAGAAGAGTTGAAGCTGTTATAGCTGCAGAGGGTGGGCCAACTCAATATTGAACCCTGTGGACTAAGACTGGGATGCCATGTGCGTGTAAAGGCAGGCGTCCCAATACTTTTGGCATTACAGTGTGTGTGTGTATAAATATATATATATATACATTTTTTTTTTTCTTTAATAAAACACTGTGACGAGAGTAATATAATGTTACCATAGTAACATTGTACTACTCTGGGGAAGTGACCAGTATTTTTTTTTTTTTTTACAAATTATGATTGCCTATAGTTGTGAATTTCACTGCTAAAGGCAAGCATTTAACTAAACGAAATTGATTCATTCAGTGTTTTTCGTTGTGGTTAGCTGTGATTGGCCATATCTAATTACATGACACAGATGGGCTGTGATTGGCCCAGTCCGTACCATGTGATACTGTGACAACACAATTGTATACAATGGATGGCATGAAAGGAAGCCATTCATTGTTTACAATTTTCATGTGACCTGCTGTGATTGGTCACAGTAGTTACATGGTACCATCAATGGGCCTGTACACAGATCGGCCATCAGCTCTGTCGGATGGACACAGCTGTTGACAGACCAACCAGCTGGCGTGTGCAAGGGTGTGGCATATGACATCCACCTGGATTGATAAAAGTCACGCTCGGGCATCATTTTGTTATTGGCTGGATAATCTGGCTTATTAAAAGTAGATAAATGCTCAGTAACTCATTGCAACTAGTAACCCCAGCATTCTGATTTCAGCTTACTAAGAGCCTGTTCACACTGCCTGCATGCTAAATGCTCTGTTTTAGTCTGCGGGTAACTGTTGGTTTTGGGATGCAGTGAGGCAAGGTAGGGTCGCAGTCAGGGGCGGACTGACAACTCATGGGGCCCCAGGGCAATAAGGGAACATGGGGCCCCTGTGTCCTTGCCCAAACTCAAAAAAGCCTATGAAAAAGGCACCAGGGGGATCTCATGGTGCCCCCTACTGACCCTGGGCCCTCGGGCAGTTTCCAAATGGTCAGTCCGCCCCTGGTCGCAGTGTGATACTTCCTTTAGCGCATCACAGAGTTTCCTTTTTTAGTTCAACTTTATTTGAAGTGCACAAATGATACTTCAATTATGTCTCTGCACAGCAGCGCTGTGACATGCAGTGCCTACCTGTGCGATTCAATTAAATGCAGCATGTCTACATTTTACAGCATCTCAATGCATCACTCCTCTCAGGTGTATTGCAGTGTGAACGGAGCACATGAAAAACAATTGCCCTAGTAGTGACTGGCATTCATCCAGTATGGAAAAACACCAGTCATTACACTATGTGTGAATGAGCCCTAAAGTCAGATCCAGTGAAAGTGAATTGAATCTTGGTTAGTTGTTATGCGTTACATTCTGCACTATCTTGTACAGGTTTTTAAATACTTTCCTAGCTTAGTAAAAATAAACTGAGTACAGTGCTAAGCTCTAACTTTTCTTTTCTTTTTACCTTTTTTCAAGATATTTCAACCCTTAGGCTCATTGAAAAGTTGTTGAGAAAAGTTAAAACCAATCTCCAGTAACAGCTGTACCAATTTTATTATGTGTACCGTAGAAAGAATAGCAACATATTTTACACATTTCTTAAACATTTTGTTATCTGTAGCAAATACAATGTCCCCGAGAACAGTTCATTTAATGGCAAGTACGGCTGTGGCTATAATACATGCTGGAGCTATTTATTAAAAACAGGAGAAAAAAAATGAAAGAAAAGCAGAATTGTTGCTTGTAGTGACTCTTTGTTTCTTCTTCCTAAAGAAAAAAAATGAAACCTGATTGGTTAATGTGACAACTTCACTCTTGTTTTAGGGTTCTGCCCTCCAGTTTCTTATAAATAGTTTAGAAAAAAAAATAAAACATTTTTATTTGCCTTCAGTACTTTATCTTCTGGAAACTGCCTCTAAGCCCAACATGGCATAATTATTTCCAGTATTCAAGCTGCTACAATAACAGGAGACACCAGGCCTGTGGAGTTGAGATTTATTCCATGTGCCAAGAACAATTGACCTTGGAGGACATAATAAGTAAACAGTGAATTTTCGGATATAAATTGTCTGCAGGGAAAATGGATGTATTTCCTTGTTTTATAATGTAATTCATTGTCTCCTTTGTCACAGGAAACTTAAACACAATGCACACGTACAGAGTTCACCATCACGTGACCATCACAATTTATATTTTACAGTCAGCTGAACTCTATTGTTTTCTCCCAGTAATGATGCGGTAGACATTTCCCAAACAAACACCTCATTTTGTGACAGTCACTCTGTCTAAATAGATAGAAACTAAAAATAAAAGTATAAACAAGGAAATATATATGATAAGAAGTTAAATGTATTATACTGAACCTGTGTTTTGCTCATACTAAGCATGATCCTTAAAGTGTAAGTTCAACTTTAGGAAGATTTTTTAGAAATTCTATCAGCTTGTGACACTGCTGAGGTGTTATGGAAGACCAGGATGCTTCAATAGCGGCCTTCAGCTCTTCTGCATTGTTCGGTCTCATGTCTCTCATCTTTCACTTGGCAATGCCCCATAGATTCTCTATGGGGTTCAGGTCAGGCGAGTTTTTTTTTTCATATTTTACTATGACCAAAGTAGTACAATGTTACCATTTGGGGAAGTGATCAGTATTTTTTTTTTTTACACAATTTGCTTATAGCAAAGAATTACTTTGCTATAAGCAAGCATTTACCTGAATGAAATCGATTCATTCAGGTTTTTTGTTTTTTTTTTTGTGCTTAGCTGTGATTTGGCCACAGCTAATCACATTACATGTGCATGTGACCTGCTGTGACCATTCATAGCTAGGCACTAGTATACAATGGATGGCATGAATGAAGCCATCCATTGTATACAACTGTCATGTGACCTGCTGTGATTGGTCACAGCAGGTCACATGGTACCGGCAACGGGGGCCGGTACTCAGATCTGTCATTGGCCATGTCCAAGGTACACGGCCGGTGACAGATCGTGCCGCTGCGCGGCTTTGTATCCGCGCGAACTGCACATGTGCGGGAGCACTCTAAATGGCGTGCACCCGGAAAGCTGATGCATTTTTGCCGCCACCAAACGGCTATAGGCCGGGCGGCTAATGGTTAAGTTATCAACACCCTGAAATCAGTTTGCAAAACGTGTTCAAACATGGACCGCATGTGTTTGAACACCCAAAGTGATCCGATTCTGATGCGAACTAAAAAAGGGTCCTGCACTTTTTTGGTGCAGATGCAGTGCGATTTGAGCCATACAAAATGTATGGCTCAAATTGCACTGCACAGAAATCACATGTGATTTGCACAGGAATGTGGTGCTGTTGCTGTGAGATTCACATGCAATGTGCCACACCGCATCAGTGTGAACCAGGACTAAAGCTGAGATCCAGGCCGATAATTGACACAAGTTAAGACAGATAAATACATGCTTACATATATTTTCTTAAATCCATGCAATGTAACTACCTAAATTTGACCTGGTATCAGAAAGAGGGATGCAGAAGCAAGTAACTAGCCAGGTACGCTGTAGTGCAAGAAACCATGCTGAAAGGAGGAGAGAGCAGAGCAATGAAGAGATGATCTCGTCAGCCTACTGCTTCTCCTTTCACTGTCCAGTCTCATGGTTGAGGTGGGGAGGAGAACTGTTAAAGTTAAACTGCAGATGAGAAAGATCAGTTCCCCTCCCCTGCTAGACAGGACTCTGCTATGAACATTTCAGGACTGGAAACACAAAAAGAGTACATTTCTGTTGAACAGTATAAAAATAAAAAATACATCCACTTTAACTCAATGCTCTATGACAGTAATGCATAACTTCTAAGGTTAATAAACGTAAAGTATTATATATATGGTCACAGAAGGCTTAGGTTAATCCATATCCAAGAACAAAAACAAGCAGTAATTAGGCAGCTGATTTACTAAAAACATTAGGCCTTGCAACTTTTCTTGCTGCTCCCTAAACATAATCATATTTGTACTATATACAATTCCTTATTGATACATTACTGGAATCATTTGCATTGTGAGACAAATTCATTGGATTACATTCTATATGAAAAATTGGGGAAATGGTAATTAAATCAACTTGCTTGTTTTCTGACTTGGTTAGGAGAACCCAATGGCACAAGTTTGGTGAAGTGGATACTAAACCCAGGACCCTGCATTCACTGTATCTGGTCTCCCACAGTACACAGAACATGGAAATGCAATTATTTTAGTAAATATAAACTGCTAAATACCTTTTCTCATCAGAAGTTAGATCAGTCTTGTGACTTCAGCTGAGCACTGGATAAAGCTTGTAGGAGAAGTTTTCTTTCTGCTCTAGGAGGATGCAGAACCCCTGACCACTGTCTGGACAGTGCTGATTGGCCCTGTGCTGATCACATGCACTCTCCCAAGAAAAAAAAAAAACTCTCTAGCAATACACACCAAACTGTGCATGTGCATAAGGGC